AGGTAATGATCACTAACATAATGTGATGTGAGCTTCAAAACTTATCCCCATAGTTATTACAAAACCTATAATGTTTCAGTAAAATATTATTCCTCAATCAAATTCGCCCATGTATACTTTAACAACTTCTTACTAAAAATTTTAACAACTTTAACCGCTTTACAACTTCTTACCAAAAAAATACGAGCAACTTTTAACTTCTTACCAAAATATTTGGACTATCCGACTTTTACCATCAAATTTCTTTTTTTTTTTTTTTTTGAAACATACCATCAAATTTCTTATATAGCCATAGTTGTCGTTGGCATAATAAAATGTGTTATTACTTCATACATATTTTATAAATGATCAAAAACTTTTGTATACATTCAATGTACATTAATATTATGTACATCGAAATAATTTTTATTGAATTTAGGGTTTTTTTTTTAAATATTTATTAATAAAACATAAATAACTTTTATTTATATCATTGAAACTAATATATACCGGGTACTATTCAAAAAAATATATATATATACCGGGTAATTTTCATATATTACAGGATAACTTTTGATCATTTTAAGGTAACTTTATATCGAATGTATAATATTTTATTATACATCCGATTTTTAAAAATGTTTGCCTACTACGTATAATCAATTAGTTGAAAGATTTTTTTTAAGTTTTTTTTCTTCTTTTTTTAGACTTGACCTTTATGTATAGGGCCTTTCTCATAGACTAAACTCAGCTTAACTGAACTAAAATGAATATTTTATAAGAGAGGGAAATTAGGACCAGAACTGAACTGAGTTGAACTGAACTGAAAATAAACGTATGAGAACATGCCCTTATTGACGTATTGTTACTCCATCCATTTTTAAATACTTGTTCATTTCCTTGTTTGGAAAACTTTTACAATATTTAATTCATTTCTCTCACCCAGTAGACTGTGGATCCAACATAAATTATAATTTATTAATTTTATATTCTCTTTTCTCTAATTCTCTCAACTACTTTTGTTTTTTTACAATTTTTTTAATCTTTTCACTAACCCCACTACCTCCAAATTATTATTCAAATATAACCTAAAACTCCGAGCAAGGAGAAACAAAACAAGTATTTAAAAACGGAGAGAATATTACTTATTATTACAAACAAAATTAAGCATTATAAATGAATTGGGCTAATGACTCGAACCAACATTGGCCCAATAGTAGACCTTAGGCCCATGACCCACAAATTTTTTTTTTTCTTTAAAAAAAAATTAAGAAAGAAAAAGGCAATTAACTGAGAAATCCTTGAAATTGTAGAGAAGTAGAAATTAACAGGGTTTAACAATTTGTGGAACGAAAAAAGATGATGAAAATATGGCCATTTACAAGAAAAGGAGCATCTGGGTTTTCAGCTGCTTCCACCGCTAAAGAAGTTACTCATGGAATTGATGCTAATGGCGTCACTTCTATTGTTACTGGTATTCTGTCTTTTTATTTTTTATATAAGATTTCTTTTTCTTTTTTGTTGAATGTAACGAACTATAAAATTTCATGGTTCTAAAGTTCATATTTTTGGGTAATTACTTATTAATATGGAGTACTATATGATTAGACATACGAGTACTATATTACTGTAAATTTTAATTTATGATTTGTTTCTGGAATTATAATATGATCAATTCTAATTATGTATGTTCCTATTTTCTGTTTAAAATTTAAAAATGTAATGGATTGTTGTGTAGTTTAAGAAACATTTTGGTTTATTCGGTGTGTAATTTACTTATTAGAGATAGAGATAGAGATTGATGCGCAGTAGAATCCAAATCAACAATATTTTTTAATACGAAATACTCTAACGAACCTGTGCACTTGTACGAGGCAAACCTACCTTTGTATGTCATCTTCTAGTACACCCATACTGATAGTTACATACAAAGGTAGGTTTGCCTCGTAAATATCAAAAGGTGGGTTTGTTATTTTCAGTTCAGGCAAAGGTGGGATTATTTATTTCCATTTTTTCTATTATTTTCTTCTTAGAGTGCCTCATAATAGCAACAAAGTTGTGTTGAAATGTTACTCCTTTTCCTTCATAGTATAGGATTTTTAAATCCTCTTACTCTAGTTAGTCTAGTGAGTAAATTGCGATAAATGTAGCATAGTCCGCATGTTTTAGGTTTATTATCGTGCACAATAAGCTGATTAGTTAAGCAATTTATGTCAAGGGGTTAGATCGAAGAAGAAATAACATTAGTGTTGAGCATACTCAATGATCTCTATGCTATATACTTGTATATAACTCTCATTATGGGAGTACCGGTGTTATGACATTTGGGCTAACTTATCAAACTCGTATATACACTTTGTGCTCAATTTAAGCTTATTTTGTTGTCACTGATGCATAATTCTTGATGGTGTGTTAAATGACCCTCATCTGCTAGATTATTCGTACTAGCGTGATCGAGCATTGTTTAGTTGCTTTCATCACTTGATTGTGAGTTGGGTGAAAGGTTATATTTCCATGTTTCTGTGAAATAGTTCTGCTACTATAATCCTATTATGCTTTGATGTGTAATGTCAGGAATAAATATGGTTGAATAATCATGGTCTCATCTATGTTGCTATGATTTCATTTTATGACACCAATGATTTTAGGAGCAACTAGTGGTATTGGAGTAGAAACAGCACGTACACTTGCCTTGCGCGGGGTTCATGTTGTTATGGCTGTGAGGAATATAGAAGCTGGCAAAAGTCTCAAAGAGAAAATACTTGAAGAAATTCCTGCTGCTAAAATTGATGTTATGGAGTTGGATCTTAGCTCATTAGCATCAGTGGAGAAGTTTTCATCTGATTTCAAGTCATCGGGTTTGCCCCTCAATATTCTCATGTGAGGATACTGAACTGATTAAATGTTGACCTGAGCACTTGACTTTTTCAAAGTTAAGAGATTGAATTTCTAGAACTTGCAAAGCGACTATGTAGTTCTTTATACTAGCTTACATAACTTCCATTGAAGTTGTGTAGTCCAATTGCTCTTTTGTGCAGCTATCACTTATATTTTTTTGACGTATTAGTGCTTAACAGACTCGTATTGTTTGAAGAAACAATGCAGGGATTATGGCTACTCCATTTCAGCTGTCCAAAGACAACATAGAAATTCAGTTTGCAACCAATCATTTAGGTGAACAGTCTTTATAGTCTTGTTGCTTTCTGATCCCTCTCCCTCCTCTCTACTTTCAGGCCATCAATGAGATTCCCTGTTTCATCTCTATTTTTGGTTCTTCTCTTATTTCCTTGAGTGGTTCCTGACTGCTTTAGAATGTTAAGATATATTTCCACTTGATACCAAGGGTAATTGATTGATTACAGACTTAATCATGTAAATTCTAGGTCATTTTCATTTGACAAATCTGCTATTGGATGACATGAAGAAGACAGCCCATGAAAGCAACAGGGAAGGAAGGATTGTCATTGTTTCATCAGAAGCCCATCGGTTTGCTTATAGTGAAGGAATTCGCTTTGACAAAATCAACGATGAGTCAGGGTACTAATCTCGTCTTATACTTGAGAACTCATCTTTGCTGTAAACTCTAGTAGTTTGATTGTTCATATTATTCGGTATGTCAATGGTCTGCTGTGCATAGGTTTATATCATATGTGCAAAATACTGGGCTTATGACTTTTTTGTTGCTAAAAATGCAGGTACAACAGCTTGCAGGCTTATGGACAGTCAAAGCTTGCTAACATTTTGCATGCAAAGGAGCTTACCAGACAACTTAAGGTAATTTTGCCCATTCAGCTCATGATTTCATGCATAAGCCTATATCATTTATCAAGTGCCAATTTGTTGTACCACATTTCTCTATTAATTCAGGAGGAAGGGGTCCAGATAACTGCAAATTCACTTCATCCTGGATCCATCACAACCAATCTTCTGCGTCACCGCAGTTTCATCAATGGTAATTTAAAGCTTTAGTCTCAATTTGGACTTATACCTCCTGGCAAAACATGAGACTGAGATCTTCTCATTCATTCTTTCATAAGCCAAGCCTGATAATTATAACTCTGAAAATAGTGTAAAGCATAGGTAGAGATTATTAGAAAATAATATTATGTTCCTTTCCACAAGTATTTTTTATACCAATACAACAATGTTATTTCATACATTAAATCAAGGTTTTTCTTCCAATGAAAAGAAAATTTACTAGTAATTCGCAGTGGAGTAATTAATCATTTTCAGTTGATGATCAAGATTATTCTTACTACGGAGTAACATATTATTTTGTATCTATCTAATTAAAGTCGAGAACATTCTCCAATACTAGATCATATTTCTGAGGAGATGATGTTTGTATAAACTATATATTATTTCCTTGTGGTTTGGTTGTAATCATTTCTATATGCTCACTCTGCTTTAATGCAGGACTTATCCACTCTCTAGGGAAATTTGTGCTTAAAGATGTTGAGCAGGTAATTTTCCCGGCCTTTTATTGACCCTATATTGCAGAGTTTTATACTTCAGAATTAAGAGTTTTACAACAATCTCTGAACTGTGGTCTTGGTGTATATGACAGGGTGCTGCGACATCATGTTATGTGGCATTACATCCACAAGTGCAAGGAGTAAGCGGTGAATATTTCATGGATAGTAACATAGCTCAGCCAACTTCCCAGGCGAAAGATGCTGAGCTGGCAAAAGAATTATGGCAATTCAGTTTGAAGCTCACAAAATCCTAGCTCCAAGTCACGTTCAGTTGGCGATGAAGTTTATTGCTATGAGCTGTTTTGATGTCTAGCGTACTGAAAATACTCTCTACAAGTCAAATGAGCTGTAACTATATCATAGAATGAGTTGTTCTCTTGTGCAAAACTTTCAAACACTGTTTAGAACTTTTGCCATAGATTTCAAATGGTTACTAGATATTATTCAGCAATATTTCTGGCAAAAATAAGTGAGATTTTCCACCAATATGTAATATGTTATGGTAAATGCATATTACTGTAGGATATGCAACTGAACCTAATCAAATAATACAAGGCATCATAAGCTTCCTTGTTTGGCAACTTTGGCACAAAATTGGGCTGTTCACTGATATGTACATACAGCAAATCATAATCGCTAAACTAGCCTAAAAAAATTATCTAGCTATCCAATATGTTGCTCCTTGCACGAGGAGAATCCCAAAAAAAATCTGATCTTCCTTCTGTAAGCTTGGCCAACCCTAGAATTTCTACTTACATCTATAATACTACTCCAACTGTACATAAATCATTCACCCTGCGATACAACAAGCCTTCTCCCAGTACAAGACTGTCAAAAATTTGTCAAACAATACAGCATGAACTTGACAATTAGAATTACAGGGCCTAGGTTCATTTGAGATGATCAATCATGAGTTGCTGAGATACATGACTGGCCAATACTGACTGTCGATTACAAATTTCCCCTGGATCACGATGAATTCCTTGTACAAATTTACTTCCAGCCAAGTCATTTCGACATGGAAATATATCTCCATTTGTCTGGGAAGCCTCTGGAATACCAGATAAAGTTTCTAGCTTTGTTTTGCAGAACAAGGGGTTACCACTGGCATATAGTCTTTTTTGGGACCTTCGATAAGGAAGAGAATGGTCCAAATGCTTAACTGGGAAAGCAACATTGCCACTGGTGCAAGCCCTGCAAGGCGTAAATGAGCCAGAAGCAGTCTGAGGGCTGGATATGGTAGAAATTCTTCTGTACATTGGCTGTGCTGACTTTGGATGCAAAAGAGGACTACCAATAGGAGAAACTGGACATGATATATGCTTTGGCATCGGAGTGTTCCTGCATAGAAATACAACAGTAAAAGAACTTCAGCATCTATAGAAAATATGTACTCCATTTAGAATCAATTGTCACTGAATTTATCTCAAGCAGTCATAATTGGGCATTCATCGTGATTTCAATATAATGTTCATTTTAATAGTTGTCTCTTTCCCTTCATCACTTCACCACCCCAATTAAGTGGACTGCATGGTTATGTTTGTAATATGGATATGTTTTTGTTATACCAATTTAACTAGTTGGCCATTAAAAAAATTTACAAGCGGCATTGAGTTAAGGAAATACCTTTTTTGTCATTGGTGATTTTTGATCTTATGAATGATATGTACAAAATACAATAAAAAAGACAAGATTATAATGTTTAAAAATAAAGGATTTAAATAATCTAGGTATGTCCAAACTCCTAATATAATCCAACCATGGTTGCAATGTGCATGAAGAATTTTGAACATTGAGGCAAGATCACAGCACAATCAAGGAGAGAGCAAATATGAATTCAAACAAAGAGAATTGCATCTCACACTGGGCAGAGGAGACTGGCATGTCAATATTTTGAATATGAATTACAAATTTACAAGCCAGTCATTTTCTTGTCAATGTTAATAGAGCCTCTCTCATATACTTCTTCCGTTCTTTGAATATTGTACCATAGGGGAGGGCACATTTTCTTTTGTAGTGGGAAACAGGAAGAAAGAGAAAGGGAAAAAAAATTGCAAATTGCTCATGTGGTTGTAAGTATAAACTATATACTAAAGAAACAAGTGTTAAAAAGTAAGGGTAAATTGGGTATTTGTGGTGAAAATAGATATATTTGTTTTCCTATAATGGGTATGGTGTAACATTTGTGAAATTTCCTTAATAGGCAGGTGCATTCATTAATAATAATCAAGATGCTAAGGTGATCCAAATCACAATGTTCAGTTATAATTATAAAACAAATGCCAACTTTCTAATCAGCAGAAGGCAGAAAACGCAAGGAGAGAAGTACGAACCTGGATCCTGATCCATTTGTAATGTCCCTGGACAGCTGCACAGCCACTCCTTCCAAGTCTGAGCTTGAAATTGTTTTCGCATGAATCATGCCCTGTAATTACCAAAAATATTTACCACATATAAAAGCTTCTGCAGGTAACAAATAAATAAAAGCAGAAAGTCTTTCGATAAACCAAATCACAATCAAAGCTAATTGCATACATGTAGTATGATTTGTACTAGTTTCTGTCCCTCAGGTCCTCTCATATAAGTTTATAGCCCTGTGAAGTGTAAACCAATCCCCCCCCCCCCCCCACAACACCCCCCTTGCCAACCAAATTGCATGCAATTCGTAAAGAGAAAAAGAGGTATAGCAACTTTTTACATGTCTCAGCCATGTACATAGATATTCTCAGTGATATAACCAAGTTGACATAGTGAGGTTATGCATGCTACTTAAGGAAGTTGAGCAGACATCACATATGGTAAAGAACACATTACCTAAGGAAAATCTTCCATACTTTCCAAACATATCCGTCTTCAATAAAAAATTACTAAAGTTTTACTCCAAGACATTGGTCAATTTACGTGCAAGGATGTCAAGACACAGAAAGTTGGAAATCTAGCAGGATAGTTAAGCAAATGTACAAGACTTACATTCACCTACCAGCTAAGGTAGGAATCTATTAGGCCTAAGAAATTCAAATCACCCTTCACTAAAATTTAACAATTTATTAAATATCCAGTACTTTCAAGCTGTTTCATGAACTTTGCAGGACAAAAGACCAGAACATGGTGCATGAAACATATCAACAGCACCGGACATCCATAAACAATGCATATTTACATAGTAAGGCGACAAAAGGAAGCCTTCATGCAATTACGTAGTGTTTAGCAATGAGCTGTCATGTGATCTATTTCCATCAACTACAAATTTCATACCTTATATCTTTCTGCATCACAAGTTGTATAGTGAGGCTCCAGTGGATCTAAACTTATTGAGCCTTTTACAGGTGAAGTTACATTTCTGACGAAAGGATGCCCCAACAGCTGGATAGCAGAAGGACGATCTCTCGGATTTCGCTGCAAACATCGCCGAATAAAGTCCTTTCCTTCCATTGAGAGATGATCGGGGACTGAAGGAAGTTCTTTGCTGTTCCCAATTTTGAAGAGTGCTGCAACCTTCAGAACAAAGCAAAACCAGAATGATTAAACTCATATAAGGAGAGGGGGGAGGGAGTCCAGAGAGAGATCAATGCACAAGTACTAGTGTCACAATTAGTGAAATGATTTTATACCCTCCGCCCTATCATTTGAAATTGCTACAATGGGAAGTGGTACGAACAAGATCATAGTTCTGAGATGAAACATGCAAACATCTGTCATTAATTAACACCTCATGCCACTCACCCCTTCATATTGACTCCAAGGAGGTTTTGAGGTCGCCATCTCTATTACAGTACATCCCAGACTCCATATATCAACAGCAAGGTTGCACCTATTCGAGTTCCTAATTACCTGAAGTAAAGCAATATTGATGAATTCTGGAAACCCTGATCAGAGCTCAAATTGAAAACCAGAGCAAAATATCAAGTGTGCTAACCTCAGGAGCCATCCAGTATGGGCTTCCCTTGAATGAAAATGGACATGATTGCCCAGTGATCTGCAATGTTGTCAGATAAGTCTTTCAAATCAACAATTTATGTACAGAAGACACGGATACAATCACAGCAGGTCGCCAACCAGAATATTCTAAACTAACCTATTCTTCTTTCTTCTAGTCTATCTTGACATAAATCATCAAAGGAGAACAACACAATTTATTGTTAACTACTTTAAGATTTTGCTTCATATGTAAGGCCGTAAGGGTAACAAAACAGATAAGAAATTGAGAACTGGAGTTACAGAAATGTGAAGTGGAGTATCTGCTTACATGTTTCGCCATGCCAAAATCTGCCAATTTAACCTGCCCACTTGGGTCCACAAGAATATTGGCTCCTTTAATGTCTCTGCACAGCACATACCATCAACAGACTATGAGAAGTAGCTAGTTTAAATATGACATACTAACCAAGCAAGTAAAAGCAGATGAAAGCAAAAAACTTTTTGCGACATGAACCTGTGAGCAGTGTTTTTTGAGTGCAAATACGCAAGTCCAGACAAAATTTGGCGTGTATAGCTGCGGATAGCTGATTCTCCAAGCTCACCATATTCCCGAAGAATTTTATATATAGAACCACCAGAGACATATTCTAAGTATATATACAGTTTGTCATCAACCTACAGAAGATTGGAGCCTCGTATAATGTTAATATAGAACGTAATCCCAGATCAGAAAAAGAATTATTTAACTCAGCAGGATGAGATAAAAGGAAAGCAAAAGAGTTGAGTTTGCAGCGTAGATTAACCATAAGCATTAAAAACCCTCACAAACAAGGTTCTTAGCAACATATACCAAACAGAAACAATTCCAGCAATTTTATTTTTATTTGTTGGATGCCTTACCATATCAGAATCAAAATACTGCACAATATTTGGATGTCTAAAGTGGCTTAGCAGAGTGATTTCCTGCAATATAATCAACATGCACAACCAAATCTTTAATGGAAACATAAATCAAATGAAACAAGTACTAAGGAACATCTATTCCGTTATAAATGTATTTTTTTTTATTATACGTATAAAGGGGGAAGAAACTATTTTGTTCACCCGTAAAAATCACGACAACTGACATAGGCTTTCTTTATATGTTTACTTAGTTATTTATTAACACAAATATCATAGTGAAGAGGGAAGGCATACTTGTCTTAATTGCTGTGCACTTTCCTTTGACTTGGAATCATCAGAGAACAAAGTAACTTCCTTCATTGCACACATCTCACCAGTTTCACTGACAATCAGGAAATGGTAAATCAATTAAAACAATTCAAGAAGTCAGATTAAACAAGAATTAAGATGAGGATTATATTTATAAAAAAAAAAAAAAAAAAAAAAAAAATAACGGAACAGATCATGCATGACCAGAGCCCAAAGTACAGCAGGAGTAACAAACGGATGAGATTCAAAGAATTCAACATAAAGTTGCTATATTGAAGAAACTTCCACTACCAACCATATTAACTAATGATGCAAAACATGGAAACTTCAGTTAACAAACAGACAAACCTGTTAAAGCCCAAATAGACTTGACCGAATGTGCCACTTCCTATAAGCCGTCCTTTTTTCCATTGTGAAACAGGGCTTGTTGACACTGCTGGTAGAACATGGGTTCTTGGATTAGTAGGAGTATTTACTCCTACATGTGAAGATGAAAATGGACAAGAGCTGCAGGTTGTTGCAGGTGGTAGTGGTAGCCTGTGACTCTCAGGCTTTCCATCACCAAACCTATCCATAGGATGTAATGGACTCACAATGCCGTTTTGTACGTAAGAACCTCGACTAGGACTAATCATTATAGGGCTTGGTAATGGAGAATACTCTGGAGTACGCCCGCTCTGAGGCCCAAAGAAAAACTGATCTGAGACAGGATTAGGTTCTGAAATTTTTTCAGAACCCAAATTGCAGCAATGTTCAAGTCCAACCAAATTCATATCTGAGCATGGTGTTCCTACACCAGAACTAGATCTGATAACTTGTTCATGGGTACAAGCCTTTACTGGGCTTCTTGAAGGACTTGAAGTGTAGCTGTCTGGAGCACTGAAGAAACCAGCACGAGGAGCAATCTGCAGTTTGGTCACTTGGGCACCAAATGATGCTTTTTTGGTAGATTTCAAAGGAATATGATCACTGATAGGCAGGTTAACTTGCTTTAATTGATCCTTCAAGATTCTTCGAGCAATGATAGAGGAATGATCCATGTGCCTTCATACATAGTTAAAAATAAGAATTCTATCAAAAAACAAAAAGACAAGCAATAGGCATCATTAAAAGATTTAAAATCATCCATTTGACATCATATACATGATGAAAAAGAAAAGGTTGGTAAGATATAGCCTACCTGGAAGGGCTGCTGGTAGCTGTTGCATTCCCACTTCCATAATCGGAAGCCTGTGGGCTCAAGAACTGGGAATCAGGCTGATCATTTGTATCAACTGAGCTATTACTAGAGATGGAGGCAGTAACAGAATCCCCCCAAGCATCCACAGCAAAGGAGTGTTCACGGTTATGTTCATGTCCAGAGAGAAAATCAGAATTTGGCAAAGTCTGAGAGCATCCATTTAACTCCAAGCTCAATGGGGTATGTCCAGAAAGAGGATGTCCTACTCCTACCCCTGGAGAATGCTGTACAGGAAGAGGAAGAGGTTGAGCATGAGGATGCACAGTAAAGCAATGGCAAGGCGATCCTTGCAATGGGGATAATGCAGAATCTAAGTGGGGTGATCTCTTTTCTGAGCAATCATCTATATAGTCCTTCCCTGATCCTACTACATCACCAATTTTCTTTTCTTCCGAACGAATGTTTAATTTCCTTTGTATTAAATCGATAAAACTTCCTCTGTTTGTCTTTCGTTGAACCTTTTTGGATGACGAATTGCCCACCACATAGGCATATCTGTGTGCAAATATACACCAGCAATGTGCTACTGGACCTAAGTACACTCCCTGAAGAGAGAGAACTGTGACTTAAATGTGAAAAAATGGAGATCTATTGAAGAGAATACAGATGCCGCTCTGGTAAAAATGCAACTTCAAATGCCCCTGATGATTTCCCGACTTCCAGCATGATTTGCAAAGATTCTGTTCAGAAGATTTAGATATTAATACGACAAACATACATACTGTCACATTACAGTAAGACAACAGAAGGGGGGACGTTAAGGCAGATTCAATAGATCCTATACAGAATTGCTTAGTATGATGATGGCATAATATAAACTTCGTGAACAAAACAACTGTCAATTGAATCATTGGCCAAGACAGGCAACTGAATCGACATGTTTATTTTCATATCAACACAAACACACACAAAACGTTGAAACAAAAGTATAAAGGCCTACAAACAAAGCAACTTTGGAGCTTCAATACTAGAAGATTCACACCATTAATTAAAAAACCTCCCTTATTTGTCACTCTCAATGACTCAATGTATTGTAGAGATATTCAGAATTTCAGACCGTCAAATCATAGCAAAAGGCTTTCACTCCCATGCACTTTTTAACAAACTCAACACTTCAGATTTCGAAACAGTAAGAAATACTCTTCTCAATCTGCTTGTGAGACCTTTGACACACCTATAAACTAATCCCCGGGGATCTTCAATATCTACTTTTACAAACATTCTATATATTTTCACACAAAGCAAAATTAATCTTAATTTTGACAACAACAACAAACACCTATGTACAAGATTAGACTAAATACTCCAAAAATCCCTCAAAGGAAGGAAATTTTAACTTAATTTAATAATTACCAATTTCAGTGAATTGATACTGAATCAAACTCTTAAGTGGCTGATTTTATGATCAAACTAAAATTTAAGTAACCTACATTACAAAGGTAAAAGTTATCATGCTTATACACACTAATTCGGTATTTCCTAACACGCACACTAGCATGTCTATTATGTTCCCGAGTACACCTAACCCCGGATTCCGGGAACACACACAAAATTTCCTTAACTAGTTTTGTACACACACACACACACACACACACACACACAAAAAAAAAAAAAAAAAAAAAAAAAAAAAAAAAAAAAAAAAACATAACATTTAACACTTACCTTAACTAGTTTGTGAAATGAATAAAGCATTAAAGCCTAAAAATGAACCTGTTATCAAAATCACATCTTTATCTCAGCATCCTTAAATTACCCAATTTACATTCTTAAACAAACATTACATTTATATATAAAAAATATTACACCAACTTAATTAAGCAAAATAATTAAGCACAACATTGACAAATTCCAACATAATTAACCCTTAAAATTAATAAGCAGACCAAGTCAGAAAACAAAAACAATCATCATAAACCTTAATAATCGAATTAATTCCCAAGTCAAATAAACATCAAAGTAAATCAAATAACCCATGAATTTATATTTTACTCACATGTCAAACATCAACTCGATCAAAACAATTTAAAAATCCAACCTTTTTCATATAAATTGAAAACCCAGAAATCCAATTAAATTACCCAATTTATAGAAGTTATAACATTTGATAATCAGTGAAGAACAAGTTACCTGGTGATTGTAGAGGAGAGAGAAAATTTGAGTGTTGTATTTTGATTTGAGAAGAAGAAATAACCTGACCCAAGAAATACGACAATTATAAAAATAAAAATAAATTGAAAAAAAAGGAGAATTTTGACATCATCTACTATGTTGATTGGAGGATTATGTGACGTCAGGTGATATTAACCAACGGTAGAAGAAAGTGAAGTGAGTCACACATAAAAGCATTAATTTGTCTGATTAATCAATAATCATGTTTTAAGTTATAAGCTTAGAAGTTACAAGAAGCTTGTGTTAAATTAAAGTTTTGTTTTAATGTTTAAATTATTCGGCTGAATCACGTTAATTGTCACCTTTTCATACTACTACGGATTACTTAGTGTATAAGTACTCGTATTATGTTAATGTGACCTTTTCTTACCACGGATTACGTAGTATATTAAATATTAATACTCATATTAAATACACTCTTGAAAATTATACTGTATGAAATTAGGAATTTATGACAAAATCACGCGTAAATTAGTGTAAATAGTGATTATATTTTTATGATTTCCTAACTTTGCACGATTTTTAGTGTATATTTAATACTTAAATGTAACCCTATGGACTATGTACATCATTTTTCTATAATTATATCTACATATTCTGTATTAAATTACCGTACATACAAACTTTTATTGGGGTCTATTTTTACTTACTGAAAACAACTAAACTGAACTAAAATGAGCTGAAATGTATTGTTTATGAGAGAAGGAAATTAGAAAATGAACTAAACTGAACTAGAATTAAGCTGAAGAGAACAGGCCTTAGTCGCCAAATACAAACAGAAAACTTTAAAAGTTAATACTTCCTCCTTTTTTTTTTTGGGTGAAATCCTCCATTTTTTTTATTATTGCATGCACCAAAATTTTGCTATTGGAAAAAGGAAAGAGATAGCAAGGTAAAAATACAAAAGTGTCCATATTTAATGTTAACATGGACTAAATAATAAGGGTGAAAAAGTAAGAGAATGTTGGATATTTATAGTGTAAATATAGGTATTTTTTGTTCAAAAATGAAAATGATGCAATATTTGTAAAGCTTCTATAAAAGGCAAATGGTGTAATATTAAAAGAAGAGAGGAAGTATGTTTTTGGATTTTCAATTGAATTTCTTTGCAAGTGAGGATACACCACGAAATGTCAACATGTATGGTAGGATTTTTTTTTTTCTCTTTTTCTAAGGAAATAAAAGTCTTTCATTAGAGTTAATGAGATTAAGACTATTAGGTTATGTATTCATGTGTCTCTTCCCTTGATAAAAAACTGAACTTTATTTTTTCAATTTTTACTAATTCTCTATAGGTTTTTGAACTGATTGAAATTTATTTTGATGAAACTAACTTATTTTTACATAATATTATTTGTTTAAGTTGAAGTGAACAGAGTTTAATCTTCACCTAAATTCATATAATGATAAAAATTTTCTTTTATGTCCTTGGGAGTCAAGATCGACTAGCTTCTTTCCCACCTTTTAGTTATTGAGGTCATCTCTTGTGATGGTCATGCAACCCGTATATTTTGGTGAATCCAACTTCTTTATTATTTAGGACCTGATCGAGGAACCAAATTCTTTTTCCCATTATGACTCCCTAATCGGAAGAATTTCTTCTAGTAAGACATCTTGTGGTTTCAGGGACGGATGATCTAGCTCTTTTGGAATGGTGACCACAAAATAATATTCAAGGATCTATACGCTATATAAGTAATTCGAAAGGTAAAAGAAATTATTTTATATGATTATAAGATTCACCTTGTTAACAGCAAAAGATTGCTTTTGGAAGTAGTTATACACTTATACCTTAGAACTTTTTCTCTTTATCATGCAATAGAGTCTACCTATGGCAAGTAGACCAACCCCCCCTCCCCCCCTTTTTTTTGTAATGTACCATCTCAGCCTTAATTTCTACTACTTCCTCCGTTCTTTTTTTATTGCACCATGAGGGATTTCACGCTTGCCAATGCATTACTTTAACCGTTAATATCTTCTATTATACTTTTGTAAAAATTATAAAAATTTGATATTTGAAAAGAAGATTTCGAGACAAATCTAACTAGATCTCTCATGACTATATTTTTCCTAATGGATAAATCACAAATGATGGTCAAAGAACATTAAGTGAATAGTATATCATACTTCCTCCGTTTCTATTTCGTTAACGTATTTGATTTAGGCACATATATTAAGTAGAGGAGAGAGAGTGAGAGAGAATGAAAAAACAAGTGGGGTAGCTTGTAAATACAAGGTTAAAAATTTACCTCAAAGGAAACGTATCAACTAAAAAAAACTTCTTAAAAAGGAATACGTGTCAATTAAAAAGAAACGGAGAGGTAGTATTTTTTAGGCATACCGTGCCATAGATGTTTTTTTTTTTTTTTTTTTTTGACAAGAGCAGTACCATAGATGTTAGAGATAACCACATTCACTATAAAGCAGAAAAACTCTAAAAACAACTTCGTGAATGAAATGAGTAATATGAAGGTTGATTAATGAGAAAGGTCACTGCAAAACTCGCTAAAAAAGATATTGAACATGTGAGAGAATTTGAACGAATTATGGAATTTGTCATAAAAAAAAAATACGGAATACTTGATTTAAATTGCATGGTAATGTTTACTAGGGTGCTTGAAGAGATGTTTTCATTCAAGGTACCCTATTAAGTATACAATTGGGAAGATAAAATTAAACTGTAAGTAGAAAATTTTGGAGGGAAAATAAACGTAACATGCAAATCATTATGAGTTAATGTTGTGTGATAATTTTGGTAGTCTACCATCGAAAAATTAAAGTTACTAATGGTAATTACTCACAAGTTAGTAGAAAACAATCTAAGTTACAATCATCAAAGCATTAATACATGTATTCTATATATGCATTTAATTTCTTTTGCAAATTTATTAATTACTTTTGATTTGAGTATAAATTATGGAGAATTATTTGTACCATATATTAAAACTTTGGTTGTTTCATATAGTATGTCTAATAAGATCAATATGACTATATGAGGTCAACACATTTTTGGTATTAATACGAATGAAGTAATTTAATTGAGTTGAACAATAATGATGTCTAATAAAACATACTTCGTCAGAATTTACAAGGAAATATTTTGATAAACTTATTAAAAAATATATATAAAATAAAGCCAATTTTGGAAAAGTTGGAGAGCAAATTAAAGTAAAATCAATCTCCAACACTAACAATATAATCAGTGTCGTCATCGCATACGACGACGTTATAACCGCGTAGATATCAATGCATGAAAGAAAATTAAAAGGTCAATTTATCAAAATTTGTTGTGTTTTTAAGATCACAATTAACAAAAAAATTGACTCATGCAAGCGTAATCTTAGTCCTAATCACTCCATAATCTTCTAATCGTACTTAATTAACAATGACACTACTGCTTTACATCACTCTACCGCGTTGAGTAAATTTACTTGCTAGCTTCTGCATCAAGCAACCTCAAATACTTGACTTGGCTACTATACAACTCAGTCAATATGTGTGCTACCTTAGAACTTAGCCTTATTATCTCTTTGCATGAAACGAATTTTTCTTATGATAGTTTAAACATTTTTCTGATCAAAATATAGAATTTTAAATGATAAGTTGTTGCAACATTATTGAGAACGCGCGGTGTCCTAGCTACTACATCCGTAATAAGAAAGTATATGTATGTCAGTATGTGATATGATATTATTTATTTATTTATTTATTTATTTATTTTAATTTTGACGAACATGTAATATAAGATATACGGAGTAATATTTATTTAAAAAGTTTGGATCAGATTTATACTCTAATTTTAAAGTCCAAAATCTTTAAGATTGGACTTGAACTCAACCTCAACCTCCTAAAGCCCAATAGTCCAAATAAGTCTATAATTTTTTCTTACTAGTAATTGTTTGGAAACATATGTTGAAATTGGCAAATATTTTTAGTTTTTAATATTGGTGGTTTTGAAAGATTAGGCTGCTATGCCTTCACTTACAAAGGGTTCTAAAATGTGAGAGCTGTTATATACACCCGGGTGTACCGTATATCCATGAGTATTTATT